AGAGTAAAACTTTGTGCATATGAAATAGAATGAAATTGAATTCATTGAAATGAAACACACCTCCAGGCTCATTATATCAATACGCACTGAGGAAAACTGAAGCCTGTACCCAACTGATAAAGCCCTGCACAGGGTTAAATCTCTTTCTGGCACATCTGATATCAACTCGCTCTAGTTCCATCAGCAGAGCTCGGGCCTCGGTGTTTACTGAAGCCATAAGAACAATCCAAGTGCTGAATCCCCCTGCCCCGGGTCCATACTGACAAAACATTGAGAGCTGCTTTCGTCTGCAGCTGTTTTGTGTAAAAACGAAATCTCAACTGCACATGGAAATTAATCTGAGAAGGTTATGGTCTTACTGAGCCTTTCGAAATGTTAGGATGTGGATCCATAACAAACGGTTGCAATACTAAAATGCTGCGACCAACAGACAATAGAAAGGCTGTTCAGAAATTGGGGGAGAATTAATTGGGTTAATTGAGGAGGAGGAGCACTGTGAGACAGGCATTAGGGGTGAAGTCATATGTAAGCGCACACAAATAACTTTGTTGTTTTTAAGTTTTGCCGAAACATCTGGCAACAACATGCAAGGAAGAGGAAACTTTTGTTTTATGCATCAAGACCTCTCTATGAAGAAAAGAAAACTTTAGCTAATTACAGGATGCCTGCAAGAAAAGAACCACCTTTGATTTCCACCAATATTTTTTCCTGCAGCACAATGCCTGGTAAGAATCAGCAGCAAGTGACAGAGATCCCAGTGCAGCCCGGGACATGTGGCGGTACCACTGCCCCTCAGCCAAGGCACACGAAGGTGGCCTGGGCTCGTCGTGCCACGGAGGCCCAGACACTGCTCGGAACAGCACAGAGCAGAGCCTGGGTGCAGAAATTTGCACGCTCATTGTGTGCTTGCAGTCCCACGGGGCAAAAATACTAACAAAAGGACAGCAGGGAGTGCAGGGATGGGAACATTGCCTTGCTGCTCCCTGAGCGCAGGAGGCACCCAGTGCCGTGCTCTGCAGTGTGTGTAGTGCCTCGTAGCACAGAGCCCGGGGTGCTGTGCAGTCCTCCTGGCTCAGCTGTGGCTTTGTCCAGGTAGCAACTACCTAGAGAGGCAGATCTTGCTGCGGGATGGAGGCCTGCCCTTGCTCACTGGTCTGGTGAGAAGTCCGGGAATTGCCATGTTTGAAGAGTTAGTCAAGTGCAAATGATAACGAGAATAGGATTTGATTTTCCATTTATGTGCTCCTGTTGGGGACTGGAATGCTGTAGTAGTAATGGTGCCACAAAGGGGCAAATTAACGAACACTTCCAAAGCAGCCATGGCACTAACGTGCTGAGAGTCTGAGCGAATGTGGCAGCGCGTTTCCGTGTCACTCCGACACGGCAGACACATTGCGGGAGTACACAACACAGCAGATGATACTTGTTTTCTTTTGTTTTAAAGCAAGTCATACCTTCCCATGTTAGTAATTACAAATCATGTTCTATAAATCTGGGGCTTGTTAGCAGTAAAACACAATTATATACAACTGGGTTTACCACAAAAAGAAATTCAGGATTCCAGACTGCAAGTTTAAAGCTCAGACTCATAAGTAAAAAATGTAAGTAAAGGTATAAGCAAAAGAGAAGTGTTCCCACTAAAAATGTTTTATGAAATGTCAGATACCTCTTAAAACATCTGTCTTTACTGCAAGAGATATGACACCTCCTTCAATTGAAAACATAAATCCGATTTGTGCCACATTCAGTACCGCAGATGGGTACAAATTTAGAGTCTGATCCAAGCCCAGGAGTCAATGGGAAGGAATCTGTGAATCGCAGTACATGCTATGTATGAAGAAAACTTTTAAATCTTTTCTTAAATATCACACACCTGACATGGAGGAATTCATAGGGATTAAGTAAAGAGATGGGACATGAAAATTTGGTGCACAGGCTTGATCTTTTAATTACTTTTAGAAAAAGTGTTCGTAGATGTCTGTCCTTATATTTCATGTTCCACCTTACTTATACCCTGTTGATTTTTTTTGTTTGTTTTTGTTACAGTATTTGCATGAGTATAACCTTTAAAGGACTTCAGTTTTAAACAGGCTTCTTCTGTGATGTTAGCTGGGAGAGTAATAAAAAACTAAGGTTATTTGCTCGCTAAGATTATGCTTGGCATCAGTCTGACATCACAGCAAGTGCTGCCAAAATTGCAGTTCCAGAAATAAAGATAAATTAAAAGAATTTAATTTTATATTGAGAGGTACAATGAGTTTAAGGACAACCTAAATGTTATGGTAGTGCAACACCCTTTAAGACACGTGCTTATTTTGTCACATGTTTCTACATCACCAGGAGCTCCTGGCTCATATGTGGATCCCAAACCCTTCAGGAGAGCAGCCAGCTCTATCACAGTTTCATATGAAATACTCTAAGGAATAGTGCCTCTCCTGCTTTTTATTCAGCAGCAGCCTGCAGCCAGCCACCTCCAGCCCCTCTGCCTCCCCAGGCAGGTGTTGGGGCACAAAGCCCTCAGCTTGCAGCAAGTCACACACCTCGGCTTCGGTCCGCTCTGTGCATCTGGCTTGTCACTTCAGGAGTTACCAAAGGCGATGGAAACACTGGCACGCCTGCAGGCACGCTCTCACCTCTCCCACCTCTGCGGGCGTTACCTCAGCAGCAGGGCACGGAGCTCACACAGGGCAGGGGACACGACCAGGGCCGTGCACAGGAACGCAGCGCCTGGACCTGGGGTGGGCACGGGCAGGCCCTGGGCAGCTGGGCTGAGACCCCCCCCACCAGGTGCCAGCACGGCCGGTGGGTTGGGGCCCTGGGCAGCGCGGGGCACAGCCATGGGGCTGGGGGAGCCGCACCGTCGGGTTTCTGCTCCTTCGAGGTCTCTTTCTAAAATTGGCGATACTTTGGTTTTGTGTTGCATCACAGCTTAATTACATGCTGGGCGAAACAAATGCTTTCTTTTGTTTCTTTTAGGCTGCAATTTAATGCCACTGACTCTGGTACCACTAGAAAGAGCAGATAATTGTTGCCTATCTGCCTGATAGATCTCAGCTCTCTTATCTTGTAGGCCTCCCACTGCCACCCCTCCTCTCATCTGAGGTTTCCCTTCTTTACAGACTCTCAGCAGCTGTTTTCATGCTTTAATTATAATTCGTGACCTTTTCTATTCCTTCCTCAGTTTTAACGTACACTTCCCAAGATGGGCAGCCAGACCTGCATACACCACGCAAGATCCAGTAATGCAGGGATGCTCTCTGGCTTGTTTTCTCCTCCTTCCCTCACAGTTCCCAACTCGCTGGTAGCCTGTTCCTGACAGCCAGCAGCGAGTTTGTGTTTCTGCAGAACTTTGTGTCTCCAGTAACCCTTTTTTCCTGGGTGCCAATACCTAATTTACATCTTGTTGCACACACCCATATACATTTCTTACTGCATTTTGTGCTTCCTTATGTGTATTACTTATAATTTACTGGCAGTAAGTTCAGCTGGCTATTCTTATCATCTAGCCACTCATTGTGGTGAGACACTCCTGCAGCTCTTTTCAGATAGATTTTGGTTTTGCAACTTTGAATAATTTATCATCACCAGCCAACTTTGTCACCTCCTGCCACCTCCTCCTCTTTTCGAAGCCATTTATGAATACCTTGAATGGCACGGGTCCTGTACAGATCCCTGTGGGACTCCACTAATAATCTCCTTTTGCTTTGAAATAATCTATTTCTGCCTACCTTTTTCTTCTGTATTTTAAGCACTTTTTGACCCTTTAGAGAATCTTCTAATTTTCCCTTGATAGCTCAATTTATCTGACATGAATGCTGTACCAAAGTAGCACGAAGTAGGGAGTACAGGAATGGATTTGACCTTTTATTAAAAAAAAAAGCAGCAAATGAAACCCACAGGCCCAGTTCTGCTGGATGGAATACCTGGGAGAAGCTGGAGTAACTTTGGGAAATGACCAGAGCCGTGCTGAGAGGAGCAAGAGCCTGAGATCCCTGCACACAGATGACAGCAGTTCTCAGCTGACTCCACAGTTTGAACAGGAGGGTTTGGCCAGGCAGGCTCGCTTGCAAAATTAAAACTTCCAAATTTGCAAACTCCTATGCAGGAGTGTGTTAGTGAAAGAATTTGGGTTAGAAACACAGCTGTAGAATTTGACTCTCCCGATCAATGCAAAACATTCTAGAAAATGTATCTCCTTTGGGAAAAAAAAAAAAAAAAGTTTTTATCAGTTTTTCAGGTATTGTGTGAAACTACTCATTAGTGTGCAGGTAATAGCCAGACACACCCCTTCTGTCACAACAGAAGAGCTTGTGTGATGGTAAAAGTTCTGCAAATGTGGTGATTTATGAGGCTTACCACAGCCGAGGAGAAGCTGGCGCTTATTACTAGCTATGAATTATTATAAACATTTCTGGCAGCGAGTTGGTGAGCGTGCCTGTGCTTCCTACGCACTCCAGGCAGAGCTGGTGCAGCTCCCAGCCCACTTGCAGCCACAGCCCAGCACCGCCGGGCCTGCACGTCCTTCATTTCGGGGAGCTGCGGCCCACGGGGTGCTTTGAAGGGTCACACAGAGCCACCTACATCGCTGCCCTACCAGAGGCGATCAGACGCGAACCAAACACTTGCATCCCTTGTTGTCTTGTGGTGCTCTTGCATGGGCTCATCAGCTGGCAGCCCTGCCGTGTCACCTGCACCTACGGGCACACGGAGGGAGCGCTCAGAAAGCTCTCAGCATGCGTTCAGCTTGCCTGGGAAGGGAAACGCTGGCTGCCTTATGGTTCTGATCAGGGCCAGTTGGGATGTGACAAATTTCTGGAGTGCAAAGTAAAACAAACCAGAGAGCGAATAACAACAGAGAGGAGAATGAAAACAAAACAAAATCAAAATGGATACAACTGAACATGCTTTCAGATGAGAGCTTCCAGAAGATTGCAGGACAGTAGGATCAAAGTATGGCATAACTATCAAACTGTTTTCTTAAACCTAAACATACTTGGCCCTTGCAGCACACTATTATTAGATACAGATTGTGCATATGTGTGTGTAGGAGGAGCTTGGGCTTTTCCTGCAGCTGCGCTGAGCCTCGCAGGGCCGTGCAGCAGCTCTGTGCAGTCGGTGGCAGGCCCAGCTGGGCACCGGCACGGAGTGCTGCGGGGCTCCGCGCCTCCCCCCTGACACCAGCCCACCGGAGAGCTGCTGGAGCCACGCAGGACAAAGGGCTACAGGGAAGTGGGAAAGGGAAGAGAAGAGCAGAGCAGGGGAGTGCTACCGAGCAAACACACGTGGCTGAGAAATACGGAGCCCCTTCTGTCACAGCGCTGCTCCTGGAGACGTGGGGTGGGAACAGCAGCAGCTGAGCAGCGGTGCCAGTGCCCGCAGCCCCCAGGGGACAGCACGGGTGGGTGCCCTCTGGCCACAACAGTTCAGGGAAGGAGAGAGGGAGAAATTTGCCCCCTGCCTTCTTCCTTCAGATGTATGACTCAAGAACTGCCCTGTTGGTCACACGGCTTTCAGTTTAAATGCTGGAGGAATATGCTGAGAGGTTAAGGCTGAAGGGAAGAGGCTTGGTGCCTCAGCTCTGCCTTCTGTAACCTGGCATTGCCTCGTAAGGCTGATGTAACTCCTGGTCTATAACTGTGAAGCTCTTTGTGATCGGCAGAAGGTAGAGACTAGAGAAGGAAATTAATAAAACAATAAATACTAATCTTAGAATGACTTTCAGCCACCCTTAAAGAGGAAGGAAAGAGCAGATTATGCACCGTAACTTATATACAGACTCCTGTGAAATTACAGGAATTGTCAGAGGTTAACATATTGCCCCCAAAGGCTCTTCTGTGCTTATGCAGAAAGTTGTATCTATCCTCGTCCATTACTGCAGTAACAAGGCACAAGGCTTGAAACGATTGCAAATGAAAGAAAACGGCATTACGATACGGTCTCCTCGCCAAAACACTGCCTGGTACAGCTAAGCATGCGGCCCTCTGAGCGCTGAGATAAAGAGACGGGAAAACCAGAGGCCTGAAGGCAGCCGATGCCACCACCACTCCATCTGCGGGCAGTGGAGGCTGGCCGCGTGCCCTCCTCCCCGTGCCGCCTGCCCGACCTTGCTCGGCTCCGCCGCAGGGCAGCGATCGACGGACGGGTGCCCTTCGGTGGCTCACTGACATTCGTGCAATGTGGAACTGGGTTTGAGCGTATGCATTCCTCTCCTCACCCAGAATGAAAGCGAAACTCGGCGAGTTATTTCGGTCCTCGCCAAACCCGAAGCGTGGCAGAGGGACCGGCTGTGCCTCCAGGCTGGTGGCAGCGCAGCGAGCGGGTCCCTTGCTAGGATGCTTGGCCACAGGCGGCATCTCCCCGAAGGGACTGGTGACTATTTTTATTGAGAGACCTTTCTAAATAACTGAAAAAGAAAACAGGAAACCGCAGCACTGTGGACTGGAGCCCGAAGTGTTCTCACACATCTGCTGTTACTGGGGTGGCCACCATTAGGCAGTGGAAACTAATGGGGATGCTGGTGAGAAGACGGAGTAAGTGCATTTAATCACTGCGTCCTTTTACCTGTACCGCTACCGGTCAACTGGGACGATCCCTCAAATTCATGACACTCACATAGGACAGTCAACGGGAGCCAACATTTCAGGTAACATTCCCAATTAGTCATTAAGAAATAGCCTTATTATAGTGAATGGCAGGTAAGAGCTAGAGCATACCCAGGGCAAATTGCCTGGGCAAGGGATAGAAATTATGGGTTATATTAACCAGAAAAGCAATTTGCTGTCGGTGCCTTCACAGTGCATTGTATACCCTTGGCATTTTATAAACAGTTAATAATAACTGGTCAGGAGAAGAGTAACACAAATCAATGTACAAATTCAATTAGGAAGAGAAAATAAAAATATTATGTGAATTACTAAGCAAACCTGATACAGTTTAGCCTTGAGTTCAACATTTGTTAGGTTTGGATGAGAAGTTCTAATCAGATTTAAAGGAGGCTTCAAAAAATTAGTAGCAGATGTGAATGAAACAGATAATGATTTTCATTCTTGATTATGTGACCAAGGTTATAGATAGTGGGGAGGGCGTTCAGTGAAAATAATTTGGCTGGTGTGCTTGCAGCTTTTCTGGTAAAGATTAATACCTTACAGCTTTCTCTCATTTACCAAGGTGAAGAGTGATCAATTCTCAGTTGATCTAAACATAGATATAAAAATTGACAGCCTCAATTTCCTACTACTTTCCTCAAAATTTAATCAGTAAGGATGATGTGGTTTGCTTCTGTTGAAGGACAAAATATCTTCTGTAGAGGGAAGCGATACTAGGGTCATCCTTCAGTATGAGAGGATGCTAAATCTTCAATCTGGTACACGAAGACCTGCATCTTGTTTAGGTGGCCAGTAAAGCAAACTCACGGCCATGTAAAGGGCATAAGAAAGGGAGAAAACACGGGCCAGAGTCACAGACAGGGCTGATCGCTGTGTTTTGCTGACATGGAGCCGCACACGCTGAGGGTTTGAAGTTTTAAGCTACCTTCGAACGCACAGCGCCGGGCTCAGGGAGCCACACACGGCACCAGGACCTGCTCTGCAGCCCCAGCTTTCCTGCTGCAAGGATCTGTCATAACTGCAGAAAAGAAAAATTAAAGAAACCAAATGTAAACAACAAGAACATGTACAGCAGAGTGCACAGAGCCTTGGGGGAATCTGGGAACTGTCAGCTGGCGCCTGGTTTCAAAACGGGGGCCCAGAGTTAAATGAGTTTCTGAAACTATTTCAATCTGCATGTGAAAGAAGAGGAATTTGTTGATTGTTGCGTTTTCCTATAGGCACAACTGACAGTGACAACTGGGCGCACTGGTGAGACACCATCGCATATTTTCTGGTGCTCCTCCCCAGCCCAAAACAAGAAAAAAGTGATCATGAAAAACCTTTGTGAGACCATGAAATGGTGGAGGAACCACGATGAAGGAAACTGGTGAATTTCAGAGAATTATAGTATCATTTCTGAACATCTACATAGTCCTTAGTGAGCATCATTAGTTTATTGTGGTTTAAATAATGAATCTGGAACAGGACTGCTACTTCTTATGCTCTTTTGAAGAAGTCTCTCGTGATACACTTAGATACAGGAACGTGTAAAAGCCTGTGAGCCCTGTATGGCTCTGAGGACTTCATGTCCAGAAATGGTCTCACAATGACAGGATGAGACTGACCCCTGCATTTTCAAACCGCTTTATATGATTTTACTAACTGCAGATTTTCAGATGCTCTGTGATTTTCTGAATGCTCCAAACTACAAGAGAACTTTTGAATATTGGTACATAATTCAGATCATCTCTTTATAACATGGCCAAGCTAATAAGTTGGAGCACAAGTGATACAACTTTCTTTTCCCCTGCAGTTTCAGATTTACTTAGTTGCATTTAGGACCTTTAAGCATTGGAGTGAAGAGAGAATACAGAGACAAATATGTTGTTTGTTTTCCCAGTGCCAGATAGATGGATTCAATTTTCAGATTCCTTAAACTGCCAACAATGAAAAGTTGTAAAAAAAAAAAAAAAAAAAAAGAAAAGAAAAGAGGGGGGGGAAGCATTTGTTTTAAAGATCTGTCATGGTTTCTATAAACTGCACAGAATTTTTTTGTCATTTATAACAAAATTGATGTCACATGTACATTCTATCACTCGCATCTGATGATGTTACTTTAGTGAGAAGTTCAAATACGGTTAAAAGAAGAGAATATAGCTTTTTTTTTTTTTTCTTTTCTTTTTTTTTTTCCCCCAACCACCTTCATTTTCACCACAGGGGCAGCTCTACCCCAGACCTGGGGATTTTGTTAAAAGGCCCCTTCGTATTCATGTTGCTCCTCAGTGCAGTAGGACTCTGGAGGCTCAGCAGACACCCACGGGGTATCAGTGCTGGGGGGTTTGAGGACTGCCTCGTGGCGGGGCTGGGCAGCTGCTGGGACGTTCCCAGGGCAGGGGCAGCCCGGCTCCAGCAGTGCTGAGCTCCCCGCAGTCTGCCCTCACCTCAACCAGTGCTGTCTGGCAACGGGGATGGAGCCCTGCATGTTAACATGTTACGTCTAAAAAGAGGCAATTTTTTCCCTTCGGCACTGAATACTTTTCACAGCTGTGTGCTGTGGAGAGGCAAAGGAGAAATGCTTGGGAAGCACATAGAACAGAGAGGTCATTTCTGTTGAGCTTTTTATTTCCTGTCTTTAAGTCTGAATTAATTTAGAGTGCAATTTTTAAACAACACTTGCAGCCAGTGAGAATTGGACAAAGTTCCTCTGCTTCCCTGACACTTTTCCACCTTAAGCAGGGATAAACACATTCTTTATTTTCAAAGCTCCTCAGGATGGTAGTTATGCAAGTTTCCCAGAACAGATTTCCTTCACCATGCACAGAGGGGTTAAGCTGCAAGCCTGAAAGTCACTGAGCAGGAGGGCTTCCAGGACAGCCAGGGAGTCAGCTCATTCCCAGCCAGGAAAGAGATGAAAGACCAAATCCTGAGCTGTCACCCCTGACAGCCTTGCTTAAATAGGACTGGGTCAGGCTAATGGCTGGCTGTCAACAGGAGTGAGTGTTTATAAAAAATGCTAAAAATAGTCTACAGTATGATATATGCACTCATGGGATAATTCGCAAAGCGTACAAAGAACAATTAGGGCCACAAAATCCATCGACTGCAAGGCCAATTGCGATCACCCAACATGGTCACCAAAAGACCACAGGCGATCCAATTTCTGTATTGCCTAGGGAACAATACCTAATTTTAAGTTTGTGTTTTCCAGTGGGAGAGACTTCTGCCCAGGCATTTTAGCCCTGCTGGGGTGAGCTTCCTTCAAAATGAAACGTATGGGCTCGTCTCAGGGGTAGCCTGGCTGACCTCTAGGCACTGGATCTCGCTGCTCCTTGCTTTTGGGACAGAAGGCCATCCATTTAATAACCTGATGGGGAAGCCAGGTCCCCCTCTGAAGGCTACACGTTTCGTTGCAAAATGATGTGAAGTGATATAGCTGATCACTAACAGTTAACAGTGTGAGTTCTCGAACAAGCTCTGCATGTAAAGTGTTGGTTGATGTCCTAGAACTGCTCCCTGCTCTGGAAGGCCTGGAAAGCATTTGTGACTTACACATTACCATATCTTCACATGGAAACTCTGCAAAATGTATTAGCTGTTGTCACCCAGTCCCAATACTGAGTCCGTTTGAGAAGGCATCAGCACCCAGAAAGGTAGCCTGTTAGTAGAGCAGTGGTATGTACTGGTAATAAAAGTCTGCCTCGTTTCCTGCTATCTGTTAGGAAATAGAGATAACCAGGTTTGGGTTAGAGATCATCTACACATTGGGAAGTCACAGCTGGGAAAAACGAGCATCAATAAGAAGTAACGAGGTAAGACACAAAACAGTTTTCAAACCAGTTCTGAAGAACTGGCCTACTTAATGCAGTCTTTCTAAACCAAAGGTGACTACATTTCTCACTCTTTCTCTTGCTGATACGTCATGAGATTAATTTTCCACTTTGCGTTTACTCTTAACTCACAAGGACTAAAACAAAAAGTTGTTTTATGCACTGGGTAATTTTTTGCAAACAGTATTTGAGAAAATCTAACTAGAGCAAACCCTATCTCAGCTTCCTCTGGCACGCATCTATCTTTTTTTCGGTTTCATTTCCTTAAAGGAAATAGACTCATTCTGCTCTGAGACCTTTTATTCCTCCTGGGCGTATATGCCACAGAAAAGTAATTAATATGTAATCACAGACTAATTAAATATGTTCTTTTATGTTTTGCATTTATAAATCATGACTAACAGCCTGAACTCTCAGGTCAATGGACATCTTCATCCCCTACTGTTTTCTGTATTCCTGTTATAGCCATATGCTTCATTTTATTCACTTTCAAAGCACTACGCTATGTGTTTCAGATAGTCAAGCAATAGCGCTCACTGATCCGTACAACTCTTCAAACAGAAGTGGAAAAAGAAGGGCCAAAGACAGGACGCATCACCTGGAGCTCCTACAGCCTAAGCGCTGTCCCAAACTCCTTCAGAAAGACTTGCTGAACCAGCACAACTCCTTATCAAATATTAAACCAAATGATGATGCACAACAGTTTACCTCAGCCTAATTCCCTTTTTTAAGCATATTTTTTTCTTCCTAATCTCAGGCATTTGGGGTAACTTTCCATTGCTCTGCCTGGGTTCCAGGAGGGCCAGGCCTGCACACAGAGCCCTCTGCCAGAACGCGCCTCGCGGCCAGCACGTGCTTTGCACATCAACAAGATTTCGGCAGAAAAAAATAGGAACTTCATTGCCTTTCTGTCTTTAATACACAGATGACAAGCTTTTATAAATCAGTGTCCACTTTTTGGTGTTTGTTTGTTTGTTTTTAGAGCTTGCTTGCCGCCGGTTGGAGTGGTGGAGGCTGCGCTCCCGGCTGCGGTTACGCCGTCCCCTGCGGCGCCTGGAGCTTGGCCTCCGCGAGGAGGCTCCGTGGGGCACGCCGCAAAGAAAAAGCAGCGTAGCTGGCTGGCTTCAAATGAAAACACTTTATTCACAAATATTCTTTGTAACCCGTCGTGCATTTTAAAAAGAAGTTCTCACTAACAGTCTACCGAAGTCTTGTGTGAATCACTAAACTATCACAACAATCTGGAATAATTGGCAGTTTTCCACTTGAAAAACCTATTTTACTTAGCTTGTGTCTGCTGGGTCTGAAAAGAACTGTTTTTGTACAACATCCAGAATTCCAGGAAAACCTGCAGTTCCCATTACGCAGTAATTTCTCAGTTTCCAGAAACAATCTCCCACTAACCAGATAAGAGTCTTTTTAATAATTCTGCTGGTGGTGTCGCTTTTACCTTCTAATGGTTAATCTATGTAGCAGCTGCTTCGTCCTCCCCTTTCTAATGAAGCTCTGCCATGAGGTTAAACACCTCCTGTTAGCCTCTGGCAGCTCCCCCCAGACCACGCGCTCCCTTTGAGCCCCCTGTCTGCCCACGAGCCCCTCTCCGCACTGCCCCACAGGGGGCTCACACCGCAGACCCCGCTCCACTGCCCCACGGATCCCATGCCTGGGGGATCAGAGCTGTGGCTGCAGGCAATGGGAAGTCTCACAGAGGTGCTCAGAAAAGGCAAAAAGGCAGGAACGGATTGAGTCCAGTTTTGGAGGTCTGGACCTCCAGAACAGAGTAAAGACAGGGGCAAAGGCGTTGCTTCCTTCTGTGAAAAAACTCAAGGGCCATGCGCCCCGATACACAGTGACAGCAGTCCTAACAGGCCTGGTTTAGAACTGCACACAATATGTAGGAAGCAGCAAGCTAGTGAGAAAATTATATCTTGGAATGGTTCGGGTTGGAAGGGACCTTAAAGATATCCAGTTCCAACCCCTGCCATGGGCAGGGACACCCCCCACCAGACCAATTGCTAGTCCACGGACTTGGACAGGCTTTGGTCACTGCCTCCTGCTGCCTGTCCATGCCTAACTCCCCATGCTGTGAACCAGGAGCCCTGGGGCCACCCCCAGTGCCCAGACCCCATCTCAGGCTGTGGCAGGGGGTGGCCGCAGGGTGGTCACCCCTGGTGCTGCGAGCTCGCCCCCCCTGCCCCGTACCTGGCTCCTGCGCCGCAGCTCATCGCCGTCCCTGCCCGTGCCACGGCTGCTGCCTGCTTCCCCGTGTGCCCAGAGCAACTTTCCACTGAAAAGTGGAAAAAGTGTGGGCAGCAGCAGTGTGTGTGTGTGTGTGTGTGTGTGTCAGCCCTCGTGGGGGTCACTGCACACCCCACCACAGCGCCCGCTGCCGCACGGCGCGCACCACTGCGGTCCTTCTGTCCCCTTAAACACGGAGAGTGTTGAACGTGTAAATATGGAATGTGTTGAACATGTAAATACGGAATGTGTTGAGCATGTAAATACTTGATTTGTTACTGTTTTACTTGGGGCAGAGGTTTTTGTAAATAGTTCTGGTTCACTGGCCAGCACAGAAAACCACAACAATGGATTCGTCACCTACGACCTAGTTTGGTCTCTGTAAATTACATAATAGTAGCAAATTTCCACCATCCGGGCAAACTGCTGCCCTGTGGAAGTCAATCAGAGCATTAAGAGCACTTAATACTTTTCAATGTAAGCTTATAGATTATTTGAAAACTTTCCATACCAACTACGGTGCTAAATTAAGTACAATTGTATGGGACTTTTCTAGAGGACATCTCCATTCCTTAAAAAAAATAAAAAATGATGACAGAACTTTGCCTTTCTTACCCTCCTTCTTCCCTTTGCTATTTAACCCTAACATACTAGATGGAGCATCCTTAATTAAGATAAAGCTGAGGTTTAGGCCCAGGGCTCTGCTAATTGCCGTGTGCTCCCTGAAAGCACGGGTCCACCATGATCCAGCAGCACTGTGACACCGGGACCGTAAAGCAGCCGCAGGGGTAAAGGTGGGATAGGAGATGGATCTATCAGATCCAAGGCTTTTTCTCTCTACATACAAACTGAGCACTCCTGAGCGCACAGGTTTGCAGGACCACGTGCTTTACAGCATGGATTAGGTCAGGCAAGGGAAGCAGAACCGAAACTCTCCTCTTCCTGCAGCGCAATGCCGGGGGCACAGCCTCTGCACCGAGGTCGGCAGGATGCGACACCCGAGGTTTTATCCTGCAGAGGAGCAGCCGAGGGCAGGAGCCCTGTCCTCAGCCTCACAGCATGACCTTGGGCCGGGCTCTGTCCTCACAGAGCGGAGGCACAGGGCACCCTACGGCCACCACGAGCCCAGAGAACAGAAGTGACCGCAGGTGACGTCTCCTGCAAGGCGCTTGCGAGCAAGGTGGAAACGACGGCGCCTTCTTCAGGCTGCGCAGCCCTGCAGCCTGCAACACATCCTGAGCAGCAAAAAGAGTTAATCGAGAGAAAGTACACTAGGGTCATGGGGAAGGAACATTTGGACTACAGTCATTTCATTTATGAGAGTTTAAATAGTTGCTGAATGACATTGTGAACTACTAAGTTAATTGCCTAGCTGACCTTTGAGAAAATGTGTAAACTACTTAGCGCAAGAGCGACTGAAAGCCCAGACCGAGCATCACTCCCACTGCTGCAGCAGCTCCGCCAGGGCTGGGCTGCAGGAGGGGCTCAGCCCCTGGCCAGGGGCGGCCTCACGGAGCTGAGCTGGGGCTGGCGGCCCCGGCAAGGAGCATCACAGCCTGCGGACAGCAAAGCGCTCGGAAAGAGACCCAGCGCTGTGATGCAATGAGAAACAAGCCAACAGCCACCAGTACAGAGTTACAGAGCCTGAGGGTGCATTGTTAAACTGCAGCTGTGAAAATCAAGGAACGGCACCTTTAGGTTCCCTGACCTTGAGCAAAGCCAGCAGCTGCCCAGGGGCTGCCACAGCTCACCAACATCTGCTGCGAAGGCTGGGGAAGGCAGGGCATGGCTGAGAGAGCACTGTACACGGCCCGTGCTGGCTCTGTGGCCGCCTTCCAGCAGGGCAGCACCCGGCCGGGACCGACCTAGCCCCTTGCCTGCAGCTCTCCCCAGGGACATCGGGGTCCCCTCCTCTCTGGAGGTTTCCTATTTTCCCCCCAGCTCTGACGATAAACGTCCCAGCCAAGCCGTTTGTCAGGAATAGGCTGATCTCCAAATGAAATGTTAGTGGTTTGAAAAAGTTCAAAATTCCCACCAAAGATACATTTTCTTGTCCAGTTTTATTTATTAAATCTTCCTTTGCTTTTGCAATTGTTGTCCACAACTCCCAGCCTGAGGCCAGCTCATACTTCTTCTCCTTGGGGAATTGGGTCTCCAACAACTGCCACTAAGATAAGGCCTAACTAAATACCTTCACTTCCAGGAACGCTTCAAACAGTGCTGCCACAGGGCTTCGTTAACCAAAAGCTGCACACCATCAAAGGTACAATGAAGAAAAGAAGCACAGTGAAAGAACTGGACATTTTCATTTACAGTTTCCACCAAAATTTTATCATTTTCTATGACATGGCTTGTTTTGAATGAAACAAAACTTCAATGTTTTAGCTAAAACAGCGAGGATACTTTCAACTAGGTGCAGCTGAGAGTGCAAAGAGTTAAGTCAGCTCTTAAAGTAGGTCTGCAAGGTCTCAGGAGAGTGTAAATCGCTGGCAAAACAATTCACTGCTGTTCAAGTAGAATTATATAAGCAGATTTATGTGTGTATAATCAGATAATAGTGCCAAATACAAGGTGCTCTTGGGCTGTTGGTATATACAGCGTGGATCCCCCAACAGAAGCGGTGTGATACAAAGGACCCATTGGTGCTGATGTTCTATGCACTCTGTGAAGTTACAGGGAAAGCTTTTTTTTTTTTTTTTTTTTTTTTTTTTGTACGGTATTTAAATATTTCTAAAGCTGCAAGGTAAAGAAAGCCTAACTAGATTTAAATTACTATTTAAATTGATCAGTTAGTCTAATACATTTTCTTCCCTCCCCCTTTTTTTTTTTTTGATTTCACACTGAAAAAGCTTTGGTCACGTATCAGTAAACAGGGGTTACTATTGCCTTGAGCTGTAGTAATTTATGAATCAGAGACATACATGGTTTATTCACTTATTTTCTCTGATTCCATCAAAAATACATATTTGCCATGGCAACCTCTTCATTACATGTCAGGATACCAATTCAAATATAAAAGGCTTCTCTTCAAAAGCTCTCTAAGGTCACTGCTGCTCTAAAATCTTTCAGGGACAGAATGTACACAATTCATGGAAAGAGGGGCTTTTCGATGTATTTTAACAGCCAACATGGTCTGTTTCTGCAAAAGTCATATACTAGAATTTTTCCTTTGGTAGAAGTTTGCCTGCTCTTCCTTCCTTTCCCCCCAACTTATAGTAGGAGGAGGATACTTGTAAAGGCTCTTGCTTAGCTAAGTTATAGGTGCATATATGCACATGTACCTATATTTAAACATGTCATACATATTTGTGTGTATTCTAAGGGTTTAGAGTGATACTAATTAGACCTGGGGAGGGGGGGGAAGATAAGAAGAGATGATTTAAATTAGTACCTTAACAAACTTTATTTGTGGTGGGAATACTTGATAGAATCTAGATATTTGACCTAGATCTCAGATTTGTTTTTCCTTTGAGGAGCTGCAATAATTGAAATCCATATTTGCCAAATCAGGATATTGTCAGCAAATCACGCGTGACTGGTGAGCTCGAACCTGGCTTGATGCACAACTCCTGCTTCTGCAAAGACCTTTTCAAAGACGTGAAGTTATGATGAATCATGGTAATAGCCTGTCAATGGGCAATAGCCCAACAAGATAAACAAGAGGAGACTTAACTCTGCAACTGAAACAGCTCCTTCTACAGTGCACACTTAATTGCTATACACTTAGTTTTGGAATATAGACAGCCCAATTTGGTTTCTTTGAGAAAAAAACAAAACGTGGTATCTCAAACCCTGCTCTCGTGTAAATCACACCCCGAGCAAATTGGTGATTGCTGCAGCATCTCACAGCTGGGGACATCAGAGAGGAGGGACCCAGAGCTCCCTTGTCACCGCGGGCCCTGTAACAGACCCAAGTACTGCACCCAGACACAGCAGCGGCTTTCACATAAAAAGGCCTGGCTT